AAACAAACCCAAAAGAAAAAAAAAATATTAATTATAAACAAGAATGCATTTCACGACTAAAATAAACACACTCCCCTCTTTTTTCACACGTGAGCGAACGGAGAAATTCGATCGACCACTAAAATAAAGGTTCCATTGATTCTCAATCCTCAGTCGTCGGCGTCTTCTGGAGATCGAGTTTCATATGAGCCGCAATCAAGCTGATTCCTTGTTCCTTGTTCTCAATTTGGGGTAGTTCAGCAAATTAATTAGGTCATCGCTGTCATATCTGGAAAGAAGAAGATGCTTTCAGGGCTAAAATTCATACCGCGGGATCAAGTCGGCAAAGTAAGTATCCATTTTTTTTTATCCTATTCATTTCATTTTGATTTGATGTCCTAAATTGTAATCAGATTCTATTATGTGATGTTTTATTTATCTTTAGCTCGTGGAGCCGAATGAATTCGTCTGATAGATATAAGGTGATCTTGATGTTCATCGTAGCTAAGGGGTTGCTGCTTTTTGTTTATTCTGTTTTCGTTGTTGTTTTGTCCAATTCCTAACTGGTTGTAGGAAATAACACTTTACTACGTGCTCACGAGCACTTGTTTAATTGTCTTTGAAGGCACAAGAAGAAACACACAGTGATTCCAGTGAAGAGACTAGAAAATCAGGGAATAGAAAGGGAAAGGGTGCGAGGAAAAAGAAGCACTCCCGACTCAGTAGCCCACATGACGAATGCCTTGAAAGAATAAAAAGTGGGTCTAGAAAGAAAAAGAAGTGGTATGATTCGAACGAGGATATTTCTTCCTTTTCAGAAGACAGTAGTAGCCAGAATGAACCGAAACGTCACATGAAGAAGCATAGGATATCGAAGAGAGGAAAGAGAAGACATGATGACAGCTCAGATGATAAATATGAAAGTCGGTCTAAGACAAAATCAAGGGGTCGAAGAAAAGATTATACATCTGACAGTGAGCCTTCTAGTGGTCCTGGAAGGGAGAAGTCTCATGGTATGAATTACTTAAAGTTTACTCTGATCTCATCTTATCTGACGTTTATACTTATTCGTCTGCTTTGCTTTGTCATATTAATCAGATGACAGTAAAGGATCCCAGCCCCTTAATTCGAATGACATTGTGAGGAAAGAAATGGGATTAGAATGGATGCTTCGACCAAAGGACAATAAGGAGAATAGTTTCAGTAACACTCCTCTCATTGAACCTAAAGAAGCTGTAACTGAAGAAGTATATTTACACTCTTCTTTCTTTTTTTTTCTTTGTGTGTGTGTCTTCTAGCAAGAAAATTACATTCTTTCAGAATATTCAAATGTTCAGTTGACATTATATTTGTATGTTCTGTACGTAACCTAGCGGTAAGATTCGGACTTACTAGGGTCAGTTTCTCAATCCTCATTGTTTCTTTCAGTTCATGTTTGAAGATATTTTCCACAAGAATGCCCATAAATAGAAAATTTATGGTGTGCATGGATCTAGGGGATTATATCCTCTTTTAGCTCTATAAATATTTAAGTGCTTACAAAGTGTCTCAGGAACCACTATAGAGATATGATTCAGCTCCTGTTTTATTTTCCTGTAACTGCATTATGTTATAAGATTTTAACAGTGATATTAGCCGACCTCATGCCTGGTTCCCATTTTTATTTCTCTTGTGACATCTTGCTTTGTGGTGTATATTCTTATTTTTTCCATTCTTATGTCATTCTGTGTTGTTTCTGTTGGAATCTCACTTGTGAGTAGTACCACACTGCTTTTATATTTTATAGGTTATAGGGTAAGTGAGCCTGGCTTAGTGGGTTACTCCACCCATCACCAATTGGTTGGTTTTGGGATGGAACCTCACTAAGGTGGCAACTACTCGCTTTCTTATGGTGTGCTTCACTCTTGTGGGACCGCACCTCTTCCCCCGACTATATAAATTTAACAGTTTTTATGCTTGTTATCGTGTAGCCTTTGTTAAGTTGGTTGTCATTGTTTACTGTCTCGTAATTCTTGGCTTTGCTGAACTAAATATATAAAGTTTTTTTAATTTTTTATTATTTTCAATTTCTATATTTTCTGCTGAACCAGCTAAGGAAGGATAATCCCAGAGAACTAAACCCGTATCTGAAAAATAATGGCATTGGTTATCCAGACGAGTCTGATGATCAAAAGCCTGGGGATAAACAACTTCTATCAAACACAGTCGTTGGTGATGGAGGTGCTAGCTGGAGGCTTAAAGCTTTGAAAAGAGCCCAAGAGCAAGCAGCTCGTGATGGACGGAAACTCGAGGAGGTATGAAATAATTACTTGTCCGTAGCTGTTTATTTCTATTAGTATGTACTAAATCTATTTCATTTTGTATCTTAACAGGTGGTTGAAGAGCGTTGGGGTTCTATGGGTCATCTCGCTGCTTCTTTGGCTTCTCAAAATGTTGCACCAACATATGCCCATCTCCAAGCCATAAAGCATCGGAGGAAAGGGTTATTAATGGAAGAACAGAAACATATGGATGAGGAAACTAGTAGGAATGAGAAGGTAATTCACCATATTTTATCACATTCTTAAAGCTTTTATACATTTCTATGAAATATTTGTTCAATTTGTTTTTAATGAATTACTGCATGGCAGTGAACTATTTTTTTTTTATTTTTTTTTTAACTTTTCCTTTTCCTTTGGCCATCCTGGACCTGGTGGTTGATCATCTCTTTATCATGATTTCTCCATCAGTAAAGATAAAACATTTCTTTTACAATTCTTAGCTTGAGAATAGGTTTTGGTTTCTACGATCTTAAATTAAATTAAGTATATTTGGTCATCCAGCACAAGACGATGCTGCTCCGACTTGTTATATTTTGGTTTTTATCAGGATTCTGGTCAGAAGAGCACAAGGGATGTCCTTCGGCATCCAAAAATGCGAATTCCAAAAGTCCACGATTCTTTATCTTGGGGAAAGAAGGGAAATAAAAATAAATTGTCAGCGGAGGATAGTGCTCTTGTTTCTGTCGCTCTCTCGAGTTTAAATAAGTCTTCAAATGATGGAAATTTATTAGCCAAATCCATGCCCAAGGAGAATAATTCTGGCAAGTCTAGTGATCCTACAAACTTTGAAGCAACAGCAGAGCCATTTGAGAACAGAGAAGATATTGAAGCAATAAAGCCGTCCATGAGTGCAAATCAGTTGGCTGCCAAAGCCATGCAACTTCGTATGAGAGGAAAACACGAGGAAGCAGAAAAACTGTTGGTGCGAATTTATTTTTACTGCAATTGCTTTTTCACTTGATTGCCCGAAGTCCTACCTAAGATATTGCCTAAAGAAAAATGAATTTGGTTATCTCCATGCAGTTATAAGTTTATTATGCCGCTTTTGTGGCTTCATCATATATGTCTAATTCTGATTTTGGATGTCAGTTCGGGACTCTGAACAAGACTGATGATTGTGTGTATTAGAATTTTTCACGTTTCTTTCACTAAGCTCAATTCTTTTGATATCAATCCGAGATAAATTATCAACAAGTGGAAATATTGTATAGAATAACCATAATGATGCCAAAATGTAACCAAATATGATTCAATTTTATTATTTTCTTTGTTGATTTTATCGTTTTCCTTTTTCTGAAGAAAATTGATTGTTGTTTAAATTAGGCAGTTACTGGGTTGACTCCATCTAATACATTCATTTTCTTTCTTTTTTTTTTTTAATTATATCTCGTGATCTCATCTAGTCATTTCTCTTAATTCAGAAGGAAGCTGAGGCATTGAGAGAAAATCAAAGTGTCGGTGATGGACCAAGCACAAAGCGAATTGATGGGACCACAAGCAGGTACTTATGCATATTGCCGTTGCAATCAACTGCCTTCATAATCGTATTTAGTCTTTCATTCTGTTTCTTATCTTTGTTTGTCTTGATTGTGTTCTGTATCTAGGTTTATCCTACATGATGCTTCCGCAAGGCAAAAGAAGAAAGAGGATAATGCTGATCTGCATTTGGCTCAAAAAATCATGCATAATCACCGGTACAGCATATCCAGTCAGGCGGATGAAGAATACGACTATGATGATGGTCCCAGAAAAAAGACTCGGAAGAAAGGAGGGTTTAGCTGCCACAATAAGTCGTCTGAGATTACTAATTCTGCTAATCGCTTCTTGACTCAGCAAGATAGGTGTCAGTTCTGTTTCGATAATCCAGCTAGGCCAAAGCATCTTGTGGTCGCCATTGCCAACTTCACCTACTTGGCCCTACCTCAACAACAGCCTGTCGTCCCTGGTCATTGTGGAATTTTGACCTTGCAGGTGACTTTCATCTCTCTCTCTCACACACACACACACACACACACACATACACACACAGAGGGAAAGTGCAGGAATGTAAGACTTACTTTCAGTTAATACAGGATCCTTTTCAAAAATAAAAAATATTAATTAATTGAATAAAGTTGCATGTTTTCTCCATTGTTCTTTTATCCAGAAAATCTGTTTACTTCTTTCTGGAATCTTGTTTGGCCCTTCAAAATTCGGTTGATTTATTCCAGATGCTACTTAAGAAAAACCATCTACATTAAGATGCTAAGTAATGTAAAAAATGCCGTTCTAAACCTAGATACTTAAATTCCCTTGTGCGTAATTGTTATTGTTCCGTCATTTTTTTCACATCGTTACTTGTAAAAGCTAACTGTTTGCAATCCTATAAGAAAATTAACCTTCATTCATTCAAGAGTTTGTAGTGTGTGTGTGTGTATAACCTTTGCACTTTTTTCACACTGAACAGCACGAATCTTCCTCAAGAACCGTGGACGACAACGTGTGGGATGAGATCCGGAACTTCAAGAAATGCTTGATAATGATGTTTGCAAAGCAAGAAAAGGATGTACTGTTTTTTGAGACGGTAATGGGGTTGGCACGACAGAGACGCCACTGTATGGTTGAGTGTGTTCCTTTGCCTCCTGATATTGCAAAGCAGGCGCCCGTTTACTTCAAGAAGGTAAAGTCATGTAGTCTGTAAGCTATATAATTTTTTTCCCTGATTAATAACGTGCTACTTGCTAGCGACCCATTTTTTGCATTTTTCTTCCCTTTTTTTTTCACTCTTGTTATATTGATGTGCATCATAGGTCACTGGAAATTGGATGATCTGAACTAGATCTTCTTATCATTGTTCTTGAATGGTCTTCATTTTTATCAAGTTTCATTCAGGAAACCAGCTATTACCCTAGTTTCTCCTGCTTAAAAGAAATCAGAACGAACTACATGAATGAAGACCTAAAGACCGAATATCGCAGAAAGAACAAAAAGACTTTGAAAATTTTATAAAACCATCTTGAGGTTTTATCTCATCCTACGTTTTCTCGGTTCATGAGCATAAAAAAAATCTCCTCCAACCACCATTTCCCGACATTTATGAATTACTAAAATTCTTGTTAATGCAACACAAAATCAAACACATTCTGTGCTCTTTTTCGGATAAATTAAATTACTGCAAAGTTGGAATTACGTATTAATTTCCTAAAAAGTGTGGTTTCTTCACTACAGGCAATCGACGAAGCTGAAGATGAGTGGAGCCAGCACAATGCAAAGAAGTTGATAGACACGAGTGAGAAAGGGCTGCGTGGGTCCATCCCCAAGAACTTTCCCTACTTTTATGTGGAGTTTGGGCTCGATAGAGGATTTGTGCACGTGATAGATGACGAGAAGGAATTCAAGAGCAGCTTTGGGCTGAACGTGATTAGAGGCATGCTCCAGCTTCCAGAAGAGGAAATGTACCGTCGAAGGAGGCACGAGTCGTTTGAGGCTCAAAAGCAAGCAGTCTCCACTTTTGCCCAGCATTGGGAGCCTTTTGATTGGACAAAGCAGCTGGACTGATTTTCTTTTCTTTTCTTTTTTTTTTGTCATTTGGAGGTGAGGAGTTAAAGGCTGTCCCCCAACTTGTTCGAGTTTACTCAACCAAATCCCTCGACTTTTACTAGGAGATGAAATCTTTAAGTTACTGAGGCTGATGCTGGGAATGAATGGGTATTTTTGTCTGCATGCAGCGGGTAAGAACAGAGGTGGATATTTATGCTCAAATAAAAATAAAAAAAAAAGAAGTTGAGTTTTCATCCGCCTGACATATGATAGAGATACCAGACTTCCTCGATGCTTGGTGGTAAGATGGGCTTTACTCCATCCAGAGTCCCAGACTACATTGATGAAATCAAAACTTGAATATGGATCTTGGCTCAAGGAGACCTCTGTGGGAAAAAAAATGAGAAGCTGTGAAAATTGGTTCGACTGTGAAGGTACAAATGTTGGTCATTT